CTCCAGGCGGGAACTAACGCTGCTGCGTCCTTTTTCATGCTGTCCCTGGTTCCCGGGAGCCACCACGTATGCATCACTGCAGCAGGCAGGTACTTTTCACTGCTAGCGTTCTTGAGGCAGGACATGTCGTGGGAAGTAGGTGTTCTGTAGGCTCGCTCCTGTTCAGAGGCGTAGCCAAGTCCTTTGATAAACAGTGACACAATTCTTTCCTTGGACTTCCAATTTTTTGTTTATCGTCATGGCTTTGTAGCACAGCCTTTTAAAATTATGTCACAATTTCCCATGGTAGCAGGAACTTTATTATCTTTGTTCTTCTTTGTCCCAAGACGAGCAATTTTTAGTTATAGCATCTCTGAGTTTACTGTAATTCTTTCCTTTCACAAAGCACAGAGCTATTCTTTCCTTATAATTAGCTTTTCATGCTTTTAAAAATCTGTCCCCAAAAAGCTATGGTGCAGAGGTCTAAATTATCCCAGAAATACAATGTTAATTAGTTTCAATAAGCAAAAGCAATCTGACAGCAAAGGCTTAATATATGAAGTTTACCCAACTCAATCCTGTAAGTCCGTTCTGGAAGTTAGTTCACCTGGAAAAGGACAATGAAATTCCTGGTAGATCACTAGAATAAAGATTTCCACGCGCAGCTCAAACTGCAAGTTTGCAGCAGTGAACAAATTCTGACTCTTGGCATCACATGTCAAACGGAGCCTCCCTGGAGCCATGTTGGGGTGACCAAACGTAGAGGGTATATTTTAGAGCGCAGCCAGGGAGTTCTGGGCTCTGTGGGCAAGCCCAGCATTTTCTGCTTGGCTCAGCCCTTGCCTTTATTCCGCAGCGTCCTCTGACAGATCGAGCAGGTGGTCTGAGCTTCCCCTGAGAAGGACCCTGCTGTTGCCTGCTGCAGCTCTGGGTAGGACTTAGTTGGCTGGAGTTCAGCAGCAGTGCTGCATCCGAATGACAAAGACCTACAGGTGGCAATATGATCACAAGGTACATGCTTCGGGACCACAGCAAGTGTTAGTGTGTGCCTTTGCCCAAGAATGAAAGAAGGGAGAAGCCTTATCCTGGAAAGGGGCCTGTGCGCTGGGGCTCCAGGGTCTACCTCACTGTCACATGGAACATGCAGATATGTAGACCTGGGTAGGGCCTTTTATCCTCAGGGAATGGCAACTTTTTCAAGACTGTGAAATGTTTCTTCAGCTCCCCGGAGTGATCCTTTCCTCTAGCCCACTCTGGATGTCCAGAGGGAATCACTGAAATTGTCTGAGAAGGTGGCACAGCTCAGGTAGACATAATTTTAGGACTGGGAGACCAAGAGGCAGTGCTCTTCCAAGGAGCAGAGACTCGGTTAGTTCTCTCTTTTCAAATCCCTACACAGACTGTGTGAGGAGCTGCCTTTACAGAACGGGCCAAGAAGGACAAGTGGGCTGTATGAACCAAGCCACTCCAGTGGTACACGTAAACTTGGCCAGTGGCGAGAGCTCATGTGCCTTGAACATCTCTTCCTATGTGTCCTGTATCTGATCTAAAGCCTGCACTGGACTGACGGTTTCCATCTACATATTGAAGATAACCACTTGAGTTTGAGCTTAGGCAGCTGGAATAACCCACATTAAATCCACTCCACTTGCATCCAGAGGGTAGTGGTCAATGGCTCAATGTCCAAATGGAGATCGGTGATGAGCGGTGTCCCTCAGGGGTCTGTACTGGGACCAGGACTCTTCAATACCTTCATCAATGACATAGACAGTGGGATCGATGCACCCTCAGCAAGTTTGCAGATGACACTAAGCTCAGTGGTGCAGTTGATATGCCTGAGGGAGGGGATGCCATCCAGAGGGACCTGGACAAACTTGAGGAATGGGCCTGTGTGAACCTCATGAGGTTCAACACGGCCAAGTGCAGGGTCCTGCACCTGGGTCGGGGCCACTCAGCACAGGCTGGGGAATGAAGGGATTGAGAGCAGCCCTGCCAAGGAGCACTTGGGGTACTGGTGGATGAAAAGCTGGACAACAGGCCACTCTCAGCCCGGAAGGCCAACTGTATCCTTGGCTGCATCCAAAGCAGTGTGGCCAGCAGGGTGAGGGAGGGGATTCTGCCCCTCTGCTCCACTGTGGTGACACCCCCGCTGCAGTGCTGCATCCAGCTCTGGAGCCCTCAGCACAGGAGAGACATGGACCTGTTGGAGCGGGGCCAGAGGAGGCCACAAACGTGCTCAGAGGGGTGGCACAGCTCTGCTGTGAGGACAGGCTGAGCGAGCTGGGGTGCTTCGCGCTGGAGCAGAGAAGGCTCCGGGGAGACCTTATTGCAGCTGCCAGGGCTTAAAGGGGGCTTCTGAGAAAGCTGGGGACAGACCTTTTAGCAGGGCCTGCAGCGGTAGGACAAGGGGTAACGGTTTTAAATGGAAAGAGGGGAGATTTCGCCTCGATCGAAGGAAGACTTTTTTGACAGTGAGGCTGGGGAAGCACTGGCCCAGCTTGCCCGGAGAGGTGGTAGATGTTCCCATCCCTGGAAACATCCCAGGTCAGGTTGGAGGGGGCTCTGAGCAACCTGATCTAGTTGA